AAATCTTCCAGTTGGCATACTGGTTTACAGAGTACTCACGTCCACTGGTTACTGACACCAGGAGACGTTCGATTGTAACCATGTATTTCTGTAGGCGTCGCAGACATTCGTCGGGTAGAACTCTTGTCATGTGCTTTATACACCGCTTCACATCTCCTCTCCTAGGCATTGTGACGTCAGTCCGTCTCGGATGCATTAGTGCGAAAGACGCACTTGTTCGAATGCGGCTGCCTTGCGTGTGGAAAACGTCTCCCAGCTGCGAGCTGTTTGAAGCGCGTTGTGTCCGACTTTTTTTGGGAATGAAGGCGAATGTTGGGATTCCAGATGAGGAGAGCTGGTAGAGCGTCGCAACCATTTGAGGTTAGTAGCTAACTACTTCTAAAAATGAACTCTCCCATATTATCTACGTCCTAGGAAAGCAAATTACTTTTGAACAGGATGAAGTGATGAATATTCATGAGGAAAGAACAAGTATGGCATTCCTTCGTAAATTTATTACGAAGTATCGTGCCACCACTCTGTAAGTCCACTTTTCAATTTTTTCAGAGAACACATAAGGTACGGGAGTCATCCCTACTAACTGACTTACGGGTGCTTATTCATTTCGCGTCAGATTTCGAAATTATTTGGGAATAGCAACATAGGGAGTCTCCCTTTTGAAGGCTACTGTTGTGTTCGTTTTATGCGATCAGTAAAAAAGATAAAAATATTGTAGGTTATGGTTTTAATATGAATGGTGGAAGACTTGAAAGCCTGTCCGTCAACCGTGGCTTATGGTTAATAAGGCTGAAAACACTAAATACGCCCACGCATGATCCGTGACCATGACAGCTGAAAGGCACAATAATAAATAAAATTATCCAGCACAGGGCTTCCCAAAGGGATATCTCTAGACTGGAATTCAGAGATAATTGTAGAAACATTAAATCCCAAAAGAGTTGCGGTCGCCACAACTGACACAAATAACAAACAGTTGTCTTCTTGACTCTCGACTACTGAATAGGGTAACCTCGGTGTTCTAAGAGACGTGGAGACAATAACTAATCCTGAAAATGTCCAAGGACACTATAACTGCTTAGATCTACGAGTAAAATGAGATCCGCAAGTATACTGTTATCGTTGGGACAACTTTTCATCTCCCTAAGCATTTCTGAAAAATTGTTTGTGTTTACCTCAGGGTGGGTAATGATCATTTAATTCCTTTTGGTTGATAAATTCGGATTCCTGGCCATCTCAGGGGATGGCTGGGATTTGGTCTCAGGGTAGAAAGAAGGATTGTTAGAGCGAAAACAGATGAGAAGCGTGGGCAGAACGGGAGGCAAATAAACTCGAAATTTCCAAAATGACTCGATGACATGGACTTCGCACCTATATGCAGATCTAGACCGTTTGACAGACGTTTATTCGTTGTTAAAATTAATTTACTACCTTATGAAGGAAGCCTGAATTTAAATATTCATACACCTATTAAAAGTGTATCGGCTAGATCATGTACCATTCAGAACTATTTTTCATTGGCCAGCTTTCTGTGAATCCTGCAAACGAAAACATTTACCAATAAACTGGGACCCGGATCTATTGACTAATGAATGCTTCCGTGTTTTGAGATCGCACAGTAGCTGGTCAGCGTATATGTGTACATGGTAAAAATGATGAGGGATGAAGACAAATTGATCAACTATTTTTTGAAACAGGAATAGGTGAGAGTTGCACCACATTTCTGTTTATGTTCGTACACCGACCTCTTGTTAGGGGCTTGATAAAGATATCTGTTATATCTCGTTCCCCAAAGAGATACATTGTTTACCAGAGGACACACATGTTGACTATTGCACAAGGGGAGGAAGTGCGCAGCCAGTGGGATCTACCTTTAACAGGGGCACCTTCGCTGTCGATAGTGTTTCATAGCGTCCTGTCGAATCTTTGCTGAGGGTGCATTCGGGTTCTTCCTGCGGAGACAGGTGTAGGAGGCATTGATGAAACGAAGGTAGGGCGAACAGGCGGAATTTCTGCATCTTGAAGGTTTCTTAGCTTGTTCTCGCTGTGACATTTTCCTGTACTTATCCTTCTCTGACTCCGACATGGACCTCCATCTAGCTGCAGCTTGTCGACTGAACTGCAAAAACGATCCCCTCAATGACTTTTTTATAGATCTTAGGAAGATGGCATAGGGACCGGGCGCCCGCTTTTGCTTAATTCTCGCCCTTGTTGGTGCTTTTTTGGCCATGAGGCGTTTCCTCTGCGGCTGCTCGGTCCTAAGCCGACGACTGCGACCCCGTGCTGGCCTTACGGATAATCGAACTGTCTTTGGTTTGAATACGGGCGCATGACCTTGAATGGTGGATAGGATGCATGATTCCAGAGCTTCAACTGCAATCTTCATATTTGTCTAATTTATGCATTGGGTGGTTAGAGCAGACTACTTACGGAAGTCTCCCTGTTATGCCGACAACTAAACTGCATATTAGGTTGAATACCGAAGGGAATAGCGACTGCACTGTTCTGAGTAAATCTTGATAGGGAGAAAAGTAGTGAAGGGAAAGTGCGCAAAAATATCCAGTTTTGACGCATCTGGCAGGTGATAATATTCTTTACACAGCCTCTTCAATGATGTACACGTTTTTAACAGACATCCTTGCTGAGATTTGTCCGTGATGCTTTATGTAGTCCTCAGATGGAGGGATAAAGATTACGCTGCTGCATGTTGCACAAAACCCACTTTAATCGTAGCCATTTATATACATTGCATGTCGCAGGGTCACTTTCATCGAGCAACCGTCAAGGCAAAATCACAACCCACCTAGTGACCAGGTTTTTATGCCAATTAGTTGGCAGTCAGTCGTCCTTGTGCGAGTCCATTAACGTCGAGAATCACACGCGGCTGAGGCCTTCGAGAGCGAGCACGAAACTCTGCTTCAGCTCTTTTGTCACAGCATAGGTTTCCGAGGTTGACCTGCGGTTCCCAATTCTCCCCATCGCTTAGTTGTCTGACTATCTGCATGTTCTGCCTTGACATCCGAGTTTTATCATTATTTCCCAGAATTTGTCGCAGTTGACGGTGCCAACGGCCTTTGCGAGGTCGTCAAGGATGATACAGAAGTTGGCCGTTAATTTTTTTGGCACCTTTACGACGTCGCACGGTGAATACCTTATCGGTTGTTTGACGCGGTAGATGCGCTGGACCAACACGGAGGCCATATCGGATTCTGGCAGGCGTTATCAGATTGCAAACCATAACAAATGCCAACATTTGGCGGTGCGGCGGCAGACCGCGTTGCCGGCAGACGTCGCACACACTGCGACCCCTGCCGCCTCAACCATTGTTTTTGTTGTTGGTCAAAATCCTGGTCAGTTGCTGTGTAAACCAGAGGTTTGGAGTGGAGCGCCAAGTTGCGGGCTCGACCGTGCCATCCGCCTGCGACCTCCCCCGCTTCCGTTCTTCTTGATTCTGTCTTGACAGCAGGTCCAGGTGGGGGAGGAGTGGAGAGTGCGGTAGATGCTTCGCAAGTCTACATTCACTATAAACTAATTCACGCACGAGTCACCGTACCTGCTGCACCTTGCTGTGAAGCACATGGTGGACATCGTCGGCAAAGAGGGTCGAACTGTCAGATGACAGAGATTTTTACAGACCAGCACAGAACTCATAAGCCAAAGCAGTAGCAGATCGGCCGAACAAATTATGTAGGAGAATTCCGGCACAAAAATGTGAGCATGAGGAATGAATGGTGTTAAATGAAACTGACACTGCTCTGGCCCGATCCCATGATACGTTAAAAATGTACAAACCAAATGTCCTACTGTAGCCAACCTTTGCCACAATTAGACCACCTCAGTCCGATCAGCGTCTCAATGCCTCGTAAATCTCTGAGGTAGAAGGATTAAATTGGGTGAAATCGTGATTTCTTTCGACGTGACGTCACTATTCACATCTTTCCCACCGAATGTGGCGCATGAGGTATTGCACAAAAGGCTTGAAGAAGCATACAAACTTAGACTCAACATAAAATAAAGCGTCTCGCGAGACAGCTTTGATTTTTCCAGAAAACGTACTTTGTCTTTGCTGGAGTAGCCTGTGAGCAGATCAAAGGAACGTCCATGAGCCCCCCCCGTTCGTTTTATTGGCAGAACAAGCCCTACGAGAGTTAAAAAAGACTGCCCTCATCCAACATGAGCCAGCCCTTTAGCACCGTTACGTCGGCGACAGGTTTGTTATCGTCAGGAAGAACACACTGCAGAATTTCCCAAATCTATTCAACAAAATCTTGCCAGATAATAAAAATGTTGCAGCGGTTGCTTTTTCGTAGCATGCTCGTAAGGCGAAGTCCTAACGATTAAATTTAGGCCACTGACTACAGAAAGGCTTCGAACACCATACAACACAGCTTTTAGGTCAGTCATCCGGTGACTCGCAAGCGAGGGTGGTTTGAAACGATACTAGTGCTACTTAAATTGATTAGGTAGGCTGTGTTGTGTATTAGCGCATTTCCAGTACAGGTGATCGGCCTGAGTTATGGGCTGATGTAGGCGGTCGGACCTCCTACCAAAAGCTTATCCCATGTTAGCAGAAAACGCGATCTAACAAACGTGTTCGTTAACCTTTGCGCCTATATGTGCTGTCGACTAGAACGTCACAAATGACTACGTATCACCCATCGGCTTCTCAAAATAAGTAGAAAATTTTGTTCACGTCCGTTTACCTCTATTGCTGAAGTCCGGTGCGCAGAAGGATACCCTGGCGTCTGGACTGCTTGTTGGATGAAACGCTATGTAACTCTGGCACCTAAATTAAATCTTTACGGTTTCGCACTTCTTTAGTTGTGCTTCGTGGAGCTGGCACACCATCTGAGTGAATCGTTCGGGACAGCCGAAGTCTTGCATGATTTTGCACAGTACTTTGCGATTCACCGTATCGAAGGCTTTCGTCAAATACACGAAGGTAGAGTACAGGTGGATCCGCATCTCCTGACAATTCTCCTGCTTGTGACGGGCGGCGAAGATCATGTCGGTGGTACCACAATAACGCGAAAACCGCACTGGCTCTCCGGCAGGAGACCTTGATCCACATGGTTGCTCAGACGGTTGAGAAGGTTGCTAGCGAGGATTTTCCCAGCGATGTTCAGCGGGGAAATGCCTCGGCGGTTGTCGCAGATTTGACGGTCCTCTTTGCGTTTGTTGAGGTGGAGGATTGTGGCGTGCTTGAAATTCTGGAGGAATTCTCCTTGACGCCACAGCTCCCAGAAGAGCGTCGTCAGGTGATCCATGAGTTGGGGACCACCGTGCTTGTAGATCTCAGCAGGAATCGCGTCCGATTCGCGCGCTCTCGCGCTACAGAGCTGCCGCACGGCCCTGATGATTTCTTGGAGAGAGGGCGAATGGTCGAGATCGGCGTTGGTCTCCAGTGGAGGCAAACGGGCCGAGACGACGTCGGAGATGGTGGAGGGGCGGTTGAGGACGCCTCCGAAGTGTTCGGCCCATCGCTGTAGAATTAGTGTCTTCTGAGTGAGTAGGGTATTTCCGTCGGCGCTGAAAAGAGGAGCAATTGCTTTGGTTGGCGGACCACAGACAGCTTTGACCGCAGCAAAGAAGTTCTTCCATTCGCTGCGGCCGGCGTACCCTTGGACCTCCTTGGCCCTGCGAGCCGTCCAGTCGGCCTGCAACTCGCGCAGTCGCTGTCGAGCAAGGCGGCGACTACGGTAGAAAACAGCTCTGTTGTCGTCGATGGTGCGGGCTACGTAGGATATGTGCAGGCGGTTCTTCTCGGCGAGCAGGGTGCTGATGGCGGCGTCGTTGTCATGAAACCAGTCCTGGCGTTGGCGACGTGCGCGATCGAGGACGGCCATCGCCGTCGACTGGACTGTGTCCCGCAATCGACACCACCAGTTCTCCACGGAGGCGTTCTCGTTAGCGGCGGCGGCAGCGGTAGCAGCCACTGGAAGATTGGCTAGCCGTTGAGCTAGTTCGTTGATGAAGTGGAGATGATGTGCAGGCAAAGACAACAAAGTAGTATTTAGCTTACCTGGGGGTCGCTTACCTTGAGGTCTCCTTCGAGTCTGTAGGCAAATCCGCATTTGGGAGATGACGAGACGATGGTCAGTCCACCTGTCGGCACCCGGAATCGGCTTGGTCACCAGCAAGTCCCGCTGGTCTTGACTCCGGGCGCGGACATAGGCCGGCAGGTGCCGCTGGCGCTACTGAAGATGCATCCAGGTGACCTTCCCTCGCTCCGGCAGTCAGAAGGCGTTCGTCAGGATGAAGCGGTGCTCTGCGAATTGTCTAAAGGGGAACGAAATTTGCAGGTTGCCAGAGTGAGCGGACTCACACTACCAGTCTGGTGAGTGGGGTGGCGGGAAGGAGGAGGGGGAAGACAGTGAGTGTGTGTGTTGTTTCTTGTTTGGTTGTTTGGACCGCGTGTTTTGCGTCTGCGAGCCACGTTCAGCCGACAGACGGCGTGGGTCCCCAACATTTATTTAGGGCACCTTTTGTAACCCATTTCCCTCGTAGGGGTGAGCAGTGCTCTCCCTAAATAGGCCTACTCAGTTGTCCCAGACGGCTGCCGAACTCCACTATGGGCCGTGACTTTGTTTAGTGGGAGAACAACCTGAATTAGTCCGGGCCGCCTACGTGATTTCTGTCGCTCTCGCAGTAGGACTCTTTAGTGGGCGGGGGGAGGGAGGATGGATGCAGGGTAGGGCGACGGGAAACAGAGTTTCCCAACCCTCTCTAAGTTTACTAGTTGCTGAAATATAAACGGTGAGCAGGCAAATTCAGTGGAACGGTATGCAGCAGAACGGTATGCAACAGGACGGTATTTAGTTTATCGCACGTAGCCTAGGTCGCGGGTGGCTAACACGGCCTTCAGGCCCTGTCCTTCATGGAAACAGAAGTTGAAGGCCAGTTGGGAGAACTGTTTATTGTGTACAGAATAACTGCAAGAGAGGTTGGAGAGTTAGAAGCCGGACGAGAGCACGTCTGGCGCTGGGAGAGCGGCGTGCCAAGTGTGTGTGCGGAAATGCGTCAAAGAGTCTTAAGCTAGAACACGCCTGACTCGGCCTTGAATCTGATAAGCCAGTTGGAGAGTCGTGTGAGCGAATGTCAGCCTGCCCTGGCGCGCACGTACAGACACCTACGAGAGGCCCAGCGTTGCGGCATGCGCTCGGAGCAGGGCCATTACAAGAGCATACCTGACTGCTTGCTAATTGGCTCAGTACAAGGCGGACATTCTTGTTCTTTTCTGGATTCGATACTAGGTCTAATTCAGTTAATTTGTCCGGTACGCGATACAATATCTCTCATCGTGGCCGCCAAAAGGAAACAAGAAAGGATTTTGTAGTCTTTTTTTCTCAAAACAATATCGTGGGGGGTCACCTCCCCTCCTACAAGAATACGGCCCGCGACGTGAGGATATGAATCCTTCACGGTCGTCATCGTAATTTTCCCTCAAGAACAATTCGTGTTGGTGTGAAAGTAAAGTTCTACTCCCCATTCTGGTGCCTTCTATATTTTCCTCCAACATGGAATTTGTCCTGGCGGTTGAAGTGCTCTGAGCACACACTCAAATTGATCAGACGCTGCAAATAACGCCACCGCGACCTTCAGGTTCGATTTCGGATGGAAAGGGAAGATGGACGCCAGTTGAGAGGACTGTATATGCTGCACAGAACAACGCTATGTTCTGCGCGCTGCTGGACTGGACTCTTTTATTATCGTTTCAAGAATGAAGCTGAAAAGCAAACCGCTGAGTCAGTCTGCGACAAAGAAACCACCAACCGAGCTAGGGGCGGCTATACCTTGCACGGCCGAAAGCAGATTGGGTTCTGCCAACAGAGCTGAAGAAAGTGCAGGTCTTAGACTTCACAGATATTGGGAAACGACAAATTTGATGGTTTTATTTGCACCATTGTCATGCATGCCCTACAAAACGGCTGCTACGGCTATCTATAGAACTCTCAGACATGACTGGACGCAGTCAACGCCAGCCCCGCCTTCCCCAACGGCCATTGTGGCCTCAGAGAACAACTCAGGTTCCCGTATACAATAAACTCCCCATTCTGGTGCCTTCTATATTTTCCTCCAACATGGAATTTGTCCTGGCGGTTGAAGTGCTCTGAGCACACACTCAAATTGCTCAGACGCTGCCAATGTCGCAGAGGCCCGGGCCGAGAGCGAGACCCTGGCCACCACGACCTTCAGGTTCGATTTCGGATGGAAAGAGAAGATGGACGGCAGTTGAGAGGATCGTATAGTCTGCACAGAACAACCGCAGAAGGGATTGAAAGGAGTTGATTGCCAGAGGAGAGTGCCTGCGGCTCTAGGAAAGCGGAGCCCCAAGGGCATCAGGGAATGCGTCAAAGCGTCTTAAGCCAGAGCACGTCTGACTCAGCCTCGAATCTGATTGGCCAGCTGGAGAGCCGAGTGGGCGAATGCCAGACAGCCTTGGTGCGCGCGTGCAGACACTCGCGAGAGGCCCAGCATTGAGACAGGCGCTCGGAGTAGGGCCACTACAAGCTTACAACAAGGATTAGCACAAACGAGCATACAAGAGCAAGCAAACAAGAACAAGCAGAAGCAAAGACAGTGCAATATTCGGCTTACCTGCGGGAACTTACCTTGGGGTCTACAACGGTGTTGCAGACGGAGCCTCATCTTGGAGGTGGCGATGCTTTGATCTGTGGGGCTTTCGACCGTGGTGTAAGAGGGTGGAATAGAGTAGGGGGTCGCGAATGTGAGGGGCAGAGAAGAAGGGCGGAGTATAGGTGCGAAAGCGTAGAAAGGGGCTAAGCGTCCATCCACGAAGTCAGGAGTTTGATGAGCGCTCGTGTCCTCCTGCGGGGTTGCAGACGGTGCCTCACCTCGGACATTCTGAGGCGGTGATCCATCCGGTCAGCGATTGTGAGAGTGGAGCCCAGTTACCCTGTACGGAAATGCACACACGGATACCCTCTCCTGGTTTAGCCGCCGGTCGAGGCGGTTATCGGGGTGGGCCGCTTGGCAGAGCTTTACTCACCTGGTACTCATGTATGCGTATGGAGGACGATTTGCCAGTTTGAGCATCGTACACTGGACCGCAGAAAGAGCATTGAGCTAGTGGAGCGATCCTTTCGCTTCTAATAATAGCCAACGTCATCATCAGGGTGCACAAGCTGGCTGCCTAATGTATCTGATGCTTTCTCAAGTGTCTTCCAACATGTTCAGACACATTCTGGCATAAGCATGAGTCCGTCACGTATTTGTCAAGGATGCTTGAATGGAACCGTCTACTTTTTTTTCTCCTAGGCCATGTTGTTTCAAGTATCAAAGTGTGAAATTTCTGTGGAATTCATTATGAGAACGCAATTTGAAGAGGTATTTAATCAAATCAGACGGCTTAGAGTGTCAGGGTAATGGGTTTTCGCTAGACTAGGCAGACTATTGATAACTCTCCGTTGTAGTGTATACGATTATCAAAACTTCAAACCAATAATACATGAAGGAAAAACCCGGCTTTAGATGGGGAACGTTGTGTTTAGCTTACAAATAATGTGGGAGCAAAAAGAATGAGAAGGACAGTGGAGGCGAGTTGTTGTACAGACTCACGAAAAGTAAATTCCCAAATACGAGGTTGCTATAGAAAATGAAGTCCCCTTTGGGTAATTCCTAAAAGTGCTGGGGTGGACCCTGTTGACAGTGCTTGTCGTCCGGATGAGTTCACGTCAGACAAAGTGGGACTGAGAAGCAATTTCCGAATGTTTATCGCATCTGACCACAACGGATCCAAGCACATAAAAGTGATTTATGAACCATCGATATCACACGACAGCGAAATCAGAAATCAAGTCGCAAGTCGAAATCAATTGTTGCGTGTATTTTTCCATATTCAAGCAAGAGTGTAGAAAAGTTCGGGTGCACAGCAAATCCAAAGGGAAAAATCGAAAATGCACATAGACCTACATTGTCTACGGGAGATAGAAAATCCGATTTCATAATGCAGAATAACTTCCACACACGTTTCTTTGCAATAAAAATGAGTGTGCGAAGATCCGGTAGTCTTTGGCCGCACGAGACTATACAAAATTAGATTATCTATCAACTTATATTTTCGGCAGAAAGCGTTATTCCTAGAAACCCCGAGGTAATACTTTTGTGGACCAAACTCCATATATAATTTTAAGGGCAGCAAATGTGTCATATACCTGACAAAGTCGTAACTTCACCGGTACCATCCCGGTGAACTTATATGAACTCACATTATCTCCCTTAGTCATCATTTATTTCACTTCCTATATATTGCAGGGCTCTAAGAATACTGAGAGGTTGGCAGAAGCGAACAGGCAAATTCCAGGAAGTAGTTCATAATAATAATAATAATAATAATAATAATAATAATAATAATAATAATAATAATAATATGATGATGATGATGGTGATGATGATGATGATGATGATGATGATGATGATGATGATGATGATGATGATGATGATGATGATGATGATGATGATGATGATGATGATGATGATGATGATGATGATGATGATGATGATGATGATGATGATGATGATGATGATGATGACGTGGTCACAGGAACAAGAAGTTTATCAGCCTGACGTTTCGGATTCTCACGCGAATTTATAATCAGAGACAGTCGTACATAAGGGTAGGAAAGGTATAAGACTGTAGTATTTACAGCGCATAGCTCCTGTGACACCACATGCGTGCTATAATTGACAGCTGCCGCGATCGCCGCGGGGGTCGTAATTGAGGCGATGATGGCCCGTCAGTCCGCGTCCAAGTCATTAATTGCCGCAAGTTCATCATCCGTGTTGGATGTCGGCATGATGATTACTCGGCTATTTGGCTCGCTGTCACTGGGATTGTTGCTCGCCCGCGCACTCCCCACGTGACTGCTCGGGGAATGTCTCAGCACAGAATATGGTAACAGGAGGTCATTGCGCTTGTTGATGGGTTGCGGTCCTAAGAACCATGACTCGAGCAGCTCGGGGCTCACGAGGTTGCCATCTCTTGCAAGGATTTCGGTTTCTTGAAAAATGGAAATATGGCCGAGTTTCGTGGAATGAGCCGTCACACGAGAGC